CTTCGGATGCATCCGAAGAAGTGGGCTGTAGTCCACGAAAGCTTATGCTCTAATAAATTTGTTAGTCTCTAAGGTGCCACAAGTACTCCTGTTCTATTTGCGGATACAGACTAACACGACTGCTACTCTGAAACAGTTAAAATACAGTGTGCAAATAATTTATAATATAATAAACATTTTGTATGCCAGCAGTTTCAATATAGTTTTTCAACAGTGATTTAAAAGAAGGAAATAGACCGTACCTACCAATTAGAGTTGCAGTCTCATCAGAAGCCATTTTTATTGGAAAAGACCTAGCCTGAAAGTGACAGATCTGCCCATGAATCTTTAACATTCTGTTAAATAGCATTTCCATGTTAACATTTTAGGATTTTGTTTTTAAGAAATGATGATATCCTGATCAATGTCTTGTCTTCAGATGTGTAAATCATTAGTAAAAAAGAAAAATCTCTTCAAATTGAAAAATAATGCTGAACTACATTTCAGTATGTGAGCTAAAACACTCAATAATCTAATATGTATTCTTTGTAATTACTGTAGAACAGTAACTTGAGGTGGATAAGGGGGAGTGATTTGTTAAATAGTCTTTTTTTTTCTGAAGGAACCAATTTATCTGGGTTTTGTGAGAAGTCTGAACACAGTAGAAATGTGAACAGTATTGGTGTCTTGTCATGTCTCTGTAGCATTGCATGGCAATCCTATCTACTCTGTAAAAATGGGGAATGGATCCTAAAGAACCGGAGTGTCCTTGTGCATGTAAAATAGCTTCAGAGTAGCCATAGCCACAAAATTGTTAGGGAGAGAATGTGTTCAATATAATATAAAAAATAAGAGTATCTATGTAGTCTGGGAGCTATAGGCCCCTTCGGGCATGGTGATTCCTGTAGGTCAGAAAATTCTGGGGTTACAGCAGCTTCACTGCTTTTCATTGCTGAGGATCACTGAATATCCAATTAACAGAGGGCAATGATATCCATTATACCCCATTCTATCCCAAAATAGCCTATGAATTAAAGCCTCCAATTACTGCTATTTTCTATGGCCACAATAAGCCATAGAACAACTTGGAACAACTCCATGTGAGGCAATGGAATTACATCAGGCTTCTGTTTGGCAGAATGGCTTCTAGTTACCAAGAGTGTGCTTGACATGACATGTATAATGTGTACCAGCATGTTACATGTCACTCTAATATATTTTGAATGTATCCTAATGTAAAATTAAAAAAGCAGTGTCATACAAGGCACTTGTTATAATATGGTAGCAATCAAATGGATTTTAACCCGCTTGTGCACTGATATACTGTAGCCTTATTATAGGGATGGTGGCATTTCACACTCATTGTAGTCACACTGCGCTGGTCTAAATGCCTGCAAAAGCACAGTTCAATGTTGATGGCTTGTCTAAGTGTTCGCAGGGTAACAGCCTTAATGTACACCATGGAACCCTAAAGAATCCCTAGGGCTGCATGGTTAAAACTGTAGGAGGAATCAGGCACATTGACTGCACCAGGATTTTTGCCTTGATAGGGACTGCATTTCTGGGCCTGTAAAACTGTTGCAGTAGAGTGCAATGGGTCCGAAATACAAAGGGGGGGGGGATCTCTCACACAGAAATACCATGTATTATAAGCATTCAAATATATTTGTACACAGTATACTACCCCATCTCCAGTCTGTTGGATCAAATACTATTCCCACTACCCCGCATGCCTTTTCTTTTTTTAACATGTTCGTGCCAAAATACAGCCTTTAGAGTAAATAATACACATTGTTCAACATATGTGTGGAACCAGATCCTTTGTAACCAATCCTCTGCAATGGCTCCAAAGAAAATTATTGGCGTGTTGAGCGATTTTATCAAATGGGTGAGAGTTCAAGGTGAAATGTATATCAGCATTTGTGTTAGGAGCCTAATGTTATTTACAGATAGTATTTTGTGTGTAAATGTCATAGCACTGCCAAACAGTGCCAGTATAGCTAATGGTCAGTCACAATTTATCTGCCAAACTCTTTCAGGGGTTTAATCCTTGATCAAAATAAACTTTTGCTCTGGACAGCAGCTTGATTCTTGAATTGTGAGCCCAAGAGGGAGATATTTGTTTTGCCAATTTATGTAAGGACGAGATTATGTTTTTCCATTTTTTTTAAATTGTAGGAGTGCAAAATCAGAACAACAGATTTCCTTGATTTGAATGCTTTTTGGAACACTACATATCTAATCTGACCAAAAAATACAAAAGCCTTGCTTGTGAAATGAGATTTATAAATCTTTAGCTCACCATATGTACTGGGTGCTCATTTGCTATTTAAAAAAAATGAATTTTAACAAAGATGACCAAGTAATTGGTTTTTGAAAATCATCCCTAGCTACCACTGCAATGGCTCTGCTGGGAAATGACATGAAACTAATTCTGGGCTTAATTTTGTTCTCACTTGCACCAGGGAAAATCTGGAGTAACTCCACAGAAATTAATAGGTCAGATCCTTCTCTCCTGCCCCAGTATAGTGGCTTTGTACTGCTGAGGCAGTGCCAAGCAGTTAGACAACTACCCTAAAGACGCAGCTGATGAGGTCCCTTGTACAGGGAATCCTCATACGGCATAAAGCCAGTGTAGCATAGATGCCTTGGTGGTGGTGGGACAGGTGCTGATGGGGCCTGGACTAGGTGGACTGGAGTGTGCTCTGTTACAGCTGCTTATCATTAGTCATTACAAGCAGATGTGAATTAAAGCAACCCTTAGGCTATGAGCCAGCCAGCCTGCCTCATAATCATGGGGCAGAAATGTAGTTTAGCACCAGATTTTTAGAAGTATTTAGGCACCTAAATTTAGTATTTAGAAGAAAATAGGTGCCCAGTGGGATTTTCAAAAGTCAATAGGTGCCTAATCCCCATTGAAGCACCTATTTTTAAAATCCCACTAGGTGCTTATCTGCAGCTTTAGGCCCCTAAATACCTTTAAAAGTCTGACCCTTAGAGCCATCTTTGCTACATCAAGCTCTCTGCAGGCCCGGCAGAGGCTTTACCCCAAGCAGTTGGGTAAAGCTGGTGAAAGAATCAGGCCCAGAGCTGCTAGTTTATCAAGTATAATAATATCTGGTTTGACTATGGTTTAAATACAATATAGAGATATTGTATGAAACCTTACATTGGGTCAAAATAATCCTTGTTTTAAAAAGTGCCTGAATATAGTTTTCAACACTCAACTGTCAGTTCCCAAGGAGCAGTTTCAATCTATTATAGTCTGTAAATAATTAATAACTGTATAAATATGCATTTACATAGTAGACAATAAAGGCTCCAAAGGAGTGTAAATGGTACAGAAAATTGTCTCCACTGAGTGACACATTTACAAAGCAGATCAAATATTCAAGGATATGCCTTAGTTTGCTTCGGCTGAATGCATTTCTATGCCCTGTAAACTATTCTCAAAACACCATGGCATACAATGTCATCATTTAAAGTCACACACCTGTGGCATGGAGCACTGGCTTTAGCAGACTCCAATGGGACCACATGAAGAGTGCCTGTGTACATGATTTTTTTTAAACAGCTCCTTCTGACATATGCTCTTAGGCTCAATTAAATGACTTAAATTTTCAAAAATGGATATTTTAGTGTAGATCACATGGACCAGCAAAATAATGCAACTTATGCCAGCTGATTGACCAAGA